CTCGCTCTCTCTCCCTCCCTCTCTCTCTCTCTCTTTTTGCTTTTTGGTCACACCCAGCAATGCTCGGGGGTTACTCCTGGCTTTGCACTCAGGAATCACTCCTGGCAGTGCTCGGGGGACCACATGGGATGCTGGGAATCGAACCCGGGTCGGCCACGTGCAAGGCAAACGCCCTACCCACCAAGCTATTGCTCCATTTCTCTCTTTCCCTCTCCCCCCTCTCTCCCCAAACTTATTCTCTATCTCTCTCTTACTTCACTCCTTCACTCTCTCCTCTCTTTTCTCTCTCTCTGTGTCTCTCACTCCACTCTCCCTCTTCCTCTCTCTGTTTGTCCATCTGTCTCTGTCTGTCTCTGTCTGTCTGTCTGTCTGTCTGTCTCTCTCTCTCTCTTCTAATATCTGCTGTTTTTTTTTTTCCAGGGCTGATATTTTCATGGACGCTGAGAAAGGAGAGGGTTTGTCTGGAGGATACCCAGGGAAATTCACAACTCTGGGGGAAGATGCTGTGCCCAGACTGCCACGTCAGGATTCGCCTGTCGCATCAGTGCCCAGCATCTGCCAGCTCTAGGCCTTCCAGAAGGGCGTGCCCAGGAATCTATCTGCTGAGGGCCCGAGAGAGAGAGAGAAAGAGAGAGAGAGAGAGAGAGAGAGAGAGAGAGAGAGAGAGAGAGAGAGAGAAGCGTCTTGAGTGCTTGCTTGCCTTGCATGTGGCCGACCCAGGTTCTGTTCCGGACACTCCATATGGCCCGGAGCTCCACCGGGAGGATCCCTCAGGGTGGGGAGCCAGGTGCAGCCCTGAGCACCCCTGGGCCCGGCCCCCAAATAAAACAAACAAACCCCAATTCACTTGCTGAGATTCCTATTATTTTACCTCTCCTTCGTTTGTTCTCCATTTAGTCAAACAAGAGTGTCTTTCTGATTTTTTTGTCTCTGTACATTTCACGTAGGATATGATGGGAGCTTTCAGGAATCTTCTCAGGAGGGGCACTGGCCTGGGGTAGAGGGGAGGGGCCTGCAGGGGGGTGGAGCGAGGGGCTCTGTGACAGCTCCCCAGGCCTGGTGCATGGGGCTCAGCCCAGCTGCATGTCCAGGCGCCTGCAGACTGCGCCCAGCCCTGCCCACAGCTCGATGACCCGAGGGGAAGAGAGGACAGAAGGTCTCAGCCCTGGACACCCAACCCTGCTGCGTAGGGCGGAGCCAAAGGGGGTTTCCTGGCTCCTGTTCTCCGGGCCTTCCACCCCGCCCCCTGCACCTAGAGCAGAATCTGGATCCCGCCAAAGAGGAAAGACGCTCAGAGCCAAGACTCAAATCCCACAGCGACTCCCCCAGCTCAGGGACCCCTACGTGGACCCTCGGAGCAGCATGCTGGCCTCTCTCCCACGCTCTGAAGATTCAGCTGCTTCGACTCCTCCTTCCCTCCATCTCTGGCCCGGTGCTGCCCCTGGGACTGTCCCCAGCCAGCCAGGGGCCTTACACCCCCACTGCAAACCCTCACTTGCCGTCGGAAAGCCGGGCCAGTCTCTCCTGACTTCTGCCTGGGCCTCCCTGAGGCAGCCTGTTGTCCATCATTCTGGATCCTTCCAGATCCTTCCGGGGCTGTTGTGGGTTTGGGGGAAGATCCCTCCATGGAGTTTATTCAGTGCCAGATTGAACCGCCTGAGAGCAGCCCTGGAATCACCATCACCGAGTCTGAGACGGCCGTGCGGGAAGATGGTGGGGGGGGGGGGGGCCGGGAAAGACGCAGGACCCTGGACATCAGTCTGAGCCTCAGCTTAGGGGCCGAGAGGGGAGCACCAAGGGCACCTGTCGACAGCTTCCAACACACCGGAAGTCTCTGAGCATGAGCTGCCAGCCACATACAGGGCAGTGCGGCCGCAGGGGTGGGGGGACAGGGCAGGCTGGCCTGCCTCTGCTCCCCAAGCCCCCAGCCTACCCCGATGGAACCGTCTCTTGCCTGTCCCTTGGGCTTTGGGAGCAGAGGCCGGGCACCCTGTGTGACTCTCATGCCCAAGGGTCTGTCCAGGAGACCAGAAAGGCAGACAGCGTCTGGCACCCACTTCTCCTTGCTCCCCAGGGCCCAGGGCCAGGGGACAGAGCCTTTTCTCCCCCTTCCCTTCCACCAGCAGTACGGCCGTGGGTACGGCTCCACGGCCAGCACAGTGCCCACCCGGCCTGCTGGGTCCCGTCCCAGCCACACACCCCACACACTCACAGATGGACGCGCATTTGGGGGACGGCGGGGCCAAGTGGGCGGGAGGGCATGGAGAGAGAACAAGGGGTCTTCAACAGCAGTTCAGTGGGGATGCGTGGGACTTAGGCCCAGGGGTGGGCAGCAGCACTTCCAGCTCCAGCACCACCCTCCTGCCCCGGGGGCCCCTTCCACCGTCACCCAAGTGGCCCAGGTGCTTCCCCAGGACCAGCCAGAGGCTTCCTGAGGGGCCAGTGGCCAGTTCCTCCCACATGTCCACAGCCTGCCAGCCTGACCTCCGGGCCACACCATGGGCTGTGACACAACCGGGCACACCTGGGATGTCCAGCCCTCTCTGTGCATCAGACTAGCTACACCTACCAACTGCTCCTTTCTCCCTCCCCGTGCTCCCTCCCCGTGCTCCCTCTCCTTCCTCCCCTCCCTGTGCTCCCTCTCTTTCCTCCCTCCCGTGTTCCCTCTCCTTCCTCCCTCCCCATTCTCCCTCTCCTTCCTCCCTCTCCATGCTCCCTCTCCTTCCTCCCCTCCCCGTGCTCCCTCTCCTTCCTCCCCTCCCTGTGCTCCCTCTCTTTCCTCCCTCCCGTGTTCCCTCTCCTTCCTCCCTCCCCATTCTCCCTCTCCTTCCTCCCTCTCCATGCTCCCTCTCCTTCCTCCCCTCCCCGTGCTCCCTCTCCTTCCTCCCCTCCCCGTGCTCCCTCTCCTTCCTCCCCTCCCTGTGCTCCCTCTCTTTCCTCCCTCCCGTGTTCCCTCTCCTTCCTCCCTCCCCATTCTCCCTCTCCTTCCTCCCTCTCCATGCTCCCTCTCCTTCCTCCCCTCCCCGTGCTCCCTCTCCTTCCTCCCCTCCCCGTACTCCCTCTTTCCTCCCTCCACGTGCTCCCTCTCCTTCCTCCCCTCCCTGTACTCCCTCTTTCCTCCCTCCCCGTGCTCCCTCTCCCTCCTCCCCTTCCCACGTTCTCTCCCCTCCTAGCCTCCCTGTTAGTCATGGTGAGGTCACAGGGCTACTGGCTCCCAGCCACTCCCTGAAGGACAGGCATTTGCAGGGAGGAAACTGGAGAGGCTGGGGCAGGTGGGGGCAGGCTGCAAGGCATCATGGGAAAACAGGCTGGGGTGCTCAGGGAGGTGCGGGTTCAAGTCCCAGCTTCACCGGCGGACTGGCCACGTGGGGCCTTGGCCAGTGACACATGGGAGGACCCGTGGCTGGAGAAGGGGGCTGCAGGGGGCTGCGACTCCGCACTGGAGAGGACAGGGCACTGGACTAGGAGGGAGGTGGGGGGGAGACAATTAAAGTGACCGCGTGGCCCAAGCACCTCAGGCCATCGGGCAGTCGGGAGGTTTCAGGTCTGTGGGGGCAGCGGGGGCAGCCACGACTCTGAGCAGGGGAAGCTGGAGAACCCGATGAGCACCAGGCTGGGGAGTCTTCAGGAGGGCATGGAGGTGGTGCGGGTCCGAGGCCCCTGGGTGTGTGGGAAGCTCCCCCCGCTCCCCAGACTCCCCCTTCTGCAGAGGGAAGATGTGTCGTGTCTGTTCCTGTCTGCAGTGAGAAACCCGAAAGCCTCGGGGGAGGGAGGGATGACCCAGAGAGAGGCCACCACAGAGAGCTTTCCCAACTGGTGGGGGCCACACCCCTAAGGACACGCCAAGGCTGGGGGGCTTCTCTGCAGCGGCCCACAGAGGTTCCCCTGCCCAGCCCAAGCCCCAGGGCTCAGAGCTATTTCAAACACAGGCTCCCCCATCCTCACCCGCCAACACCTCCAGGGTGGGTGTTACCATCAGAGAACAGTGGGGAATGGGCTTGAGAGAGGGACACCCCACCTGGGACCCCGAGTCCCAGCAGGAAGCTCAGGGCACACCCCACCTTCTGAAAGCTCTCCCTCCAGACCTGAGTTCTGGGGGCTCTGCCAGCCTGTCGCCCCTGAGGCACACCCGGGCCAAGTCCCCTAGTGAAGAAGGAGTGTCACAGCTGGGCGGGAGAGGCTTCAGGTGGATGTGGGGTCCACGTGTGGGAGCTCCGGTCTCCATCCCCAGGTCCACCATGGGTAAGTCTGGGCATGATGCCAGGCCTGACCTCCCAAGCACCAAGAGCAGAAATGGTTTTGTTTCTGGAGTGAAGACTGATGCTGTCCCCTCCCTCCCTGGGCACGTGCTCCAGTGGTCAGTGAACCACGTGGCCTGATGTGGTTTATGAACTGTGGTTCACAAAACATGAGACACACTGCCAGGGCTGGAGTCTCCGTTTCTGCACTGCACCTGGACATAGCCCCTACTTGGAGGGGACAGTGGAGACCCCAACACTCCAACCCTACGCTGGGGTAGGGTGAATATAAAAAACTTTTTCAGGGTGTGCACACCTGGTGGTACTCAGGGCTTACTCCTGGCTCGGCACTCAGGGATCACTCCTGCAGGTGTTCGGGGGCCCTATGGGATGCTGGGGATCTGACCCGGGTTGGCCACACGCAAGGCAAATGTCCTTCCCGCTGTTCCATGTCTCTGGCCCCTCTAGAAGTCCTTTAAAGGCTCTTCTAGGCTAAGGAGAGGGCTCAGAGGGATGACACTTTTGTTGGCATGCGTGGGACCCCGGGTTCGATCCCTCAGCAGCCTGAGCACCACCACATGCAGCCCTGATGCCCTCTGGGACCCCCAGGGAAGCTTCAAACCAATCCCAAACAACAAAAACAAGTATCAAAGCATCAAGCCACTTCCCGCACCCCCAAACTGTACTCCATCTCGGATTCTGCAATGTCAAAATACATGACCCAAAACAGTTATGGAATAGAAACTTTCTTAAAGTCCTTACCTGCCTGTTGAAATCTAGGCCATTCCGATCACTTCCTGGAAGAGAGAGAGGAGAAGATATCAGTTGCTGTCAGGACTGGAAGAGATGAAAGGTTCAGGGAAAGCAAGAAGTTGGGAGGAGCCTGCCCCGTGGCCAGGGAGCTCCTGCTTATCCTGTTTCCTGGAAAGGGCTTTGGAAAGAGCTGCTGGGATGTGGAGAACCACTGACTGTCCAAGCACACAGAGCTATGGGGATTAGGCCCCGCCCCCAGAGACCCTAGGATTAGGCCCCGCCTCCAGAGACCCTGGGGTTAGGCCCCACCACCAGAGACCCTGGCATTAGCCCTGCCCCCCGAACACCTGTCCTAGGGCTCTCTGGTCAGCAATCTGGCCTGCACCCGAAGACAGAGGCTATTTCAGACCTGCTCTTGGCCAAGGTGATCTGACCATCAGAAATCCGAAAGATACAGGGTCTCCCCAGCCCATGGCCCAAGGACTGGGGACAGAGATGTCACAGCAGGTAGACAGGTAACTGTCTGACTCCATGACTTCCATTTCTTGTTTTGTTCATCTTCTCCCCTTTTGCAATATTAGATTTAATGTGATTCTGTAGGGCTGGAGCCATAGTCCAGTGGGAAGGACGTTTGCCTGACACGAGGCCAACCCGGGTTTGGTCCTGGGCAGCGCGTATAGTCCCTGAGCACCACCAGGATTGATCCCTGAGTGCAGAGCCAGGACCGAGCCCTGAGCACTGCCCTGGGACCCAAAAACATACAAAAAAGTGATTATGTGATAATAGAGGAAGGTTATTGATACAGAAAAACTAATATGTAGCAGAAAAATCACTGCACTAAAAGGTGGTTGCAATGAATATCTTGTCTATTAGTGACTCATTTTCTGTTTTTACCCCTCATTGATATATGCCATTCTGCAAAGATTCTTGGCCTGCCTTTCACAGAGAGCATCATAAATATTTCTCCTAGACTAGTAAAGACTATCATAAATCTTTTCTTAAGTGTGCAAACATCATTTTAATGATCACGTAGTATTCCATTATAGGAGTGTGCCAACACCTAGCACATAAACCCTCACTGCTGGGGAAATTATTTTCATTCTTTGCTTTCTCCAATAAGCTGAGATGATTAAAAATTTTTTTTGAATAGAGAAGCTAAGGGTAGGAAAATGCCCACAGAGTAAAAACAGCTCTGTGTGGAGAAAAATGTGATTTTATCTTTTTTTGCAAAACGTCTTTCTGGGGTTATCGTAGGTAGAGCGCTAGCCTTGTATGTGGCACCACATATAATTCCCGAGCCCTGCCAGGGGTGATCCCTGAGCAAAGAGCCAGAAGCCAGCCCTGAGCACCAACCAGTGTGACGCCAAACCAGAAACAAAACAAAACTTTGAAATGAGGATGAAAAGCTTCCTTTCTGGGCATCCTGGTGGCCAGGCGGTACAGTCATGGCGTCAGCCGAAGTATTAATAGTACACTATTATACAACATGATGCCTCAGTAAAGGCAATAAAAATAAACGCAAAACCTCCTTCTTTGACATTGGGAAGTTGGTCGCATCAGGAGTAATGGTAGCTGGAAAGAAGAGCAGCGTCATTCATTCGCAAGCGCAGCTGAAGGACTCTCGGTGCCATACGTGGTGCCAGCCACTGGCTGTGCAACGTCAACGTCACAGACAGAAGTCGCCTGCCCAATGGAGTTCCTTCCCCCCTCCCCCACCTGGACCCAGACAAGGCTTTGGGGAACAGCGCCACGGCCAGGCGCAGAGCCGCAGGGATTCAGGGAGACCCAGCAGGAAAGGCGACTGAGCCCAGGAGGAAGTGAAGCCCCAGGTCTGGGGACGGTGGTTCCCAGAGGCAGGAAGGGGCTCGGGCCACCAGGCCAGTGTTACAGAGACAGGCAAAGGGGTGAGTAGGGGCTGATAGTAGAGGGGGTGGGGTGGCCTAGGCCACTGAGACGTCAGTTTCCTGCTAAGGATGTGGAACCTGGGCAGGAGGGGCTGTGAACAGGAAAAGAACTAGATCTGCCCTAAGAGTTAAAGCCCGCAGGGGCTTGAGTGATAGCACAGTGGGGAGGGCGTTTGCACGCGGCCGACCTGGGTTCGAGTCCCAGCATCCCATATGGTCCCCAGAGCACCGCCAGGAGTAATTCCTGAGTGCATGAGCCAGGAGTGATCCCTGAGCATTGCTGGGTGGGACCCAAAAAGAAAAAAAAAAGAGTTAAAGCCCACAGGGATCAGCTCTGGGGACTAAGAGACCAGGAAAGGGTCGGGGTGCAGAAGAGGGCAGTGGGCTGGACGGAGCGAGAAGGACCTGGATGTCAAAGGACGTTTTACACCAACAGCCTGGGGGACGCTCAGTCACAGAAGCCCACGGTCATGAGTTCAATCCCCGGTGCTGCCCACGTGTACCGGGCAAGGTCTTTGCAGCTCTAGCTGTCTGGGACCCTCAGCGGAATGTGTCAACTTTGGCACCCGCAGGTGTCTGGGGCACCTCAGCCAAACGCACTTGCAGCCCCCAACATCACAGCAGAGCGACACAGAGAGAAAGAGAATGGCAGCGAGTACAGGGCACCAGGACCAGGCTGTGGGGGAGGGGGCGTGATTCTGAGGGCCGGGGTGTTTCAGGGGGGGCACAAGCGGTGCTGCTGTTCTTGGCAACAGAGACACGAGCCCTCAAGATGAACACGGTCCACTTGGGATGCCCGTCAGAAATGAGGGGTGAGGAAATGAGTTTGGACTCAGGAGTGGTTAACTGGAGGGGGTCTGTCTGGCACTCAGGGACTGAGTGCAGAGGGGGATTTGGTCCAGGGTGGCAGGAGGAGGAGGAGGAGGAGGAGGAGGAGGAGGAGGAGGAGGAAGAGGAGGAGGAGGAGGAGGAGGAGGAGGAGGTCAAGGACAGGCTTCTGGATGTGTACACGGGAGGCCATGAGACGCAGGTGAACAGGGACAGAGCATGGGGGACAGGGGCCCCAGTTTGTGGCCGGTTTTGGAGACCCCAGCCTTGGATCCCCATGACTGCCACCTGGGGAGCTTCAGGGCAGGGTCTGAAAGGACAGCCAAGCACACCAGCGTCCCTCCCGCACACGGTGACCTGTGGACGCCTCTTGGGGGGGTGTTTTGCAGAGGGCTCCTGCCGTACGTACTCTGCAACCTGAACTCTTCCCTTCCCGTGCAATCTGCTCTCACCCACCCCACTGCTTGATCTTCCTCGAACTCAGTGGCTGGACTGGCCGGGGGGGGGGGGGGGGGGGGGGGTGCCCTGGGGCCATTCTTCCCGGGCACCCCAGGAGAGCTGAGCCCAGAGCCCAGAGCACACTAGACTAGTGCAGCACAGGCCACGAGGAAAGGACTCGGGTCCTCAAAGCAACACCTGCCACTGCCCAGAGTGCTTGGGGAAGCCGTGTCCTCTCCCCTCATGGCCCCAGCCCCGAGGGGGTAGCTGAGCATGGGCGGGCAGGGGCCCTGGGTGCAGACGTGTTGACAGTTGGATAGAGGCGTTTGTTCGTTTCTGATGACATGGTTGATTCTCGAGATCTGCTGGGGGGAACCGCCCCCTTTTATGGGGGAGCCCTGGATCCTGCTTTTCTCCCCTGGTCCACTGGACTTGTTCCATCTGGCACCTCTCCCACCCTGCCTCCGGGAAAAACCTGGGAGGGGTGCTGGAAGTGCGGGCCGAGACCTGGCTCTTGGGGTTCTGCTGCGGCCCCAGCGCTCTCAACTGGGGGCGACCTGCAGGCCTTTCCCATAACCTAATTTCCTCATCGAGGAAACCTGGAAGGCGCCTCTTTCCTGGCAATTATCACCCTTCTGCAATCACCAGGAATTTTCCTTCTGTCCCATGAAGAGGAGGAGCCACGGGCGCGTTTGAAGTCAGAGGACTGGGATTCATTGCTCCCAAATGCTGCATCCTGGCAGAGGCAGAAAGTTCCAGATTCTCCTGCTTTTCGATGGCAATGCCCAAGCATCGTTTTCATGGGTAGAATTCCCACCCCATCCACTTCCCAAGTACAAGGTGGTGTTCGGTGGGGATAAAGGTGGCGGCCGTGTTGTAAACGGGACACTGTCTGCATGGTGCAGGGAGGTTCTGACACCCGGGCCATCGGCAAACAGGTTCAGCCTGCTCCCGTTCCCTCTCTCCAGAACGTCCTTCTCTCCCTAGAAAACACAGTTGCCTGCAGGAGCCGACTCGGCAGCCGCAGCCTCCAAACTGCTAGTCCAACCCGAGAAAGGGTCTCCCCACTGCTCACCGCAGAGCCTCTGCACGTCTGTCCCTTCGGCAAACCCTGAGCATCTAAAGACTGGGCTTGTATCTTGCCCCTCTCTGAACCCCAAGGGCCTAAGACAGCATCTGACATGCAGCTCACACTGAAACGGGGTGTTTGATCCAGACGACTAAGAAACAGCCGCAGAAACGCATCTTCTCTGCAGCTGAAGCAAGAGTACAGCAGATCGGGCATTTGCTTTACACGTGGCAGACCCGGGTTCAATCTCCGGCACCACCTAGGGTCCCCTGATCCCCACCAAGTGTGATCCCTGAGCACAGATCCAGGTGGTAGCCCTGAGCACCCCTGGGTGTCGCCCAGAAACAAAACCAAAAGTAAAAAGGGAAAAAAAAAAAGAATCTTCTCTTGGGATAGAAGGCTGTGCCATGTCCCGACCCCCTCTTTGGAAAGTGACCGTTGCTTGGAGGAAAAATGAAGAGGGACAGAAACTCCCAAGAACTAGAGCAGTTTAGCACCAAAACGACCCCAAGGCCTAAGGTCCGAGGAAGCAGTTTGCCCAGGTCATCATCTCGGAAACCTGAGTCAGGATGGAACTCACCATGTCCAGTATCGACAGAGAGAGCCCAGGGCAGAGCTTCAGTCCACAGCTGGGGCGTGTGGCCAGGCCAGACACTCATCTGACTTTTGTTTACCCTTTGGTTTTGGGTCACACCCAGCAGCGCTGAGGAGCTACTGCCGGCTCACTGCCTGGGGACCCCGCAGCTCCCGGGATCAAACCTGGGGTGCCCACCTGCAGTGGAGGGGCTCCATCTCCCCCCCGCCT